ATGTCTAACACTGTACATCAGTGGTAGCAGCTGAACAGCAGCCAGTATCATGTGACAGCAGTTTGCAGTGCACAGTATTTCGTCACAAATGAGCTCTAGGTAGTTAGTAAAGTCTGTGGGCAGTTTGGAGAACCTGCTCAACACAAAAAAAACCCCCAAACCAACACAAAAATAATCTAAAAATTTCTGAGTATTTTAAAGTAAGAAATTGACTATTTTGCAAATTAAATAGAGGGAAAACACCAATTCCAAATTGTAAAAAACAATTTTTCTTAGAAAAAAAATAGCTGCAATTGAACTTTAGATGTTTGGTAGAATTATTTCCTTTTAACTTAAAATGCATTCATTTTCATACTTATTCACACCCTAAGAAACAGGTAACATCATCTGAGATACTCTGGTCATTAAACAAGTAGGTTTTTTTTTTTGGGAGGCAATCTTTTAAAAAAGCTGGTATATTAAAGAAAGTAAGTCTATCACCTCCTAACTGACCTTCTTGAGCAGTTGGAACCATCCAGGTTGTGGTAGCGGTTGCTTTTTTAACATTTTCCATCTCAGTTTCATCTGTAATCACTTCCAAGGCCCCAAATTCATTGACTCTAAACTGTAAGACAAAACAAATGGCATATGGCATAGTAAAAATTAACTGAAGTCCCTTCCAGTGTCTTCTTATATTCACCAACACAGTTTTCACATGGTGTCCTCACTATATTGCCTGTTTTCTCTGTGCTTCTGCCTAGCCCGAAGGAATTGGAAACAAGCCTTTATTGTTTCTATCAAGCATAATGCAAATTCATTCTGATATCTAAAAATATTAATTTGCAATAGATACTGATACAGATGCTTCCACATGCAGACTGATATTTAACTTACACACAAGACTCAAAAGACCAGTAACAGATATTCATGAGCACATCTTCTAACCATATGCTTTTCATTGCCAGCAAAATAACACACTCCAGACACTAAGTATTTTTTCTGAGGAAAAAGGAACTGCACATCACATAGCAAATGCTTCACAGAGTACAGAAATATCAGCATCCTCTGAAAACACTGTGCTTCTCTGCTATAAAGCACAACATAAACAAACATCTCAATGCAGTTTATGAGCTGTTTAATTACACACTGAATATGATACTACTGTCAGCCAGAAGCAAGGCTCAACAATACCCCACATGCTGTGCTTACACTGGAGCACCGGGAGTTATAGCCATCCTGCTGCCAGCAGAAAAGCATCTTCCCAACGCTGTAGTGATTACAGCACCACCAGATGAAAACAACTTCAGCTTGCCAGTCACTATGTGGTTTGCAGGCCCAGCTGGTTACATGAGTTGAACTCAAGGCAACGTTTTACCCCTGACTGTCTGCTCTGAACAGCAAAGGAGAGCCTTTGCAACAGAAAACAGGTCTCTATCTGTGAGGTGCTCTCACCAACAGCTTTCAACAGGGAAAGTTATGTCTGAGAGAGTCTTTCAAAGCTTCCCAGCACCCACCAGAGAGAACATTCCTTCAAGGTAGTAGCATAAAGTCTATTTCTGTTTCTCTGGTCAGGCAACTTTACCTTGGGAAAACGAGAAGAGGATCAATTACCTGGCACCACATTGACCCTCTCTGTGCCTCTGGAGGCTGAACAAATCACTCCAACTCATTTTGGACCCTGCTATGGCACAGTACTGGAAATAAGCCATTCTGGCTGAAAGCAAAGGTGAGCCCCATAATGTACAAGCCACAACAGTGTGCTTTCACTGATACAGTCCTTCCAGCCTCAGCATTTGCAAAGAGCCACCAGCTCAGAAATAATAAGCTGATGGGAGGGAGAGGAAAAAGACACCCTCAGAGAGTCCTGTCACTGGAGCCAAGATTTTTTTTACTTGTTATTAGCTCACAATAGATTTGAAAGCATAGATGAACTGTTGATAATCCATCTGGACTGAAGGACCAGAAGTTAAACTTTGAAAGGCAACCAAATGCAGTAACACCACAAACTACAGTTAGTGGACAGACATTCACACAGTTCCAAGCAAAGAAAAGCAGTAGAGTTACCATTCAGAAGACAATCCTTGCATCTTACAGCTGACTTATGCACCCAGTCTGGTTCCTATTCCGGTTAAGCTCATTTTTGCTATTGGTGCTTTGTTGCCCCTGTAACAGGTGGATGCCAACGGGTAAACCTTCCTTGCCTTCAAGAGCTCTAACTCTCCAAGAAGTGGCTCAGCAAGCAAGCTATGAAGACAGTCCAAGACACGGTGCTGCGGCCCACCAACTGACCAGGTCACAAGGAGGTTACTGATCAACCTCTGGAAACACTCTCCTGCACCTTCACACAGTATCAGTTGGAACATCCAAACCAAAGGTGTTTCTGAATAGTCCTGGCACACCTGAATACCTGGGATGTTTCTGCATGATTCGATCAATGTCCAGCTCCAGGAGTACGCACAGGTTCCTCATCCACCAGGGCTTCCTGTGGTACAAAGATGTCACTCCAGCTAATGCAATGACCCACCAGTCCTGACTGACAGGCACCAAACAGTGCAAGGCAGATGACTGCAGGGAAGGCTGCTCCCAACTGCTCTTTCACTGGAGGGTGGTAATGGCAGCAAGAACTGAACCATTAATGAAGAAGCTCTTCAACAGTCAGGCCACCATGCTAAGATGGTCTCAGTGATGGAGAGTGATGACTCACTACTGCCTCAGAAGGCAGGAGGGCACAACAGCCCTACTGGGTCACCGTCTCACTGACCACTGGATCTCCTGGTTTTGTTTGCAGTTCACTTTTGCCAGTGTCAGAGGCCTCCAGTCCCCATTAAGGTGCAAACTTGAATTCATGTCGACTTTCACTCTCTACTTTCCTGGCTACAGCATCAGCATTTCTGTGCATGCCAAGACCTTCACAGCTAACCAGAACAATGCCTCAGACCTGAGGAGTCATACTCTGGTTCTAGCTGAGGAGGAAAAGCAATGAACAACTTGTGACAGAGGTTAATTGCTCAAAAACAGGATAAATAGATGTACATAGCAGCATGCTGCACAAAGCCACCACAGGATAAGAGCTGCCAGAGCAATGTGCCAACTAGCTTCTATTGTTGGAAGAATGACAAAAAAGGATCTAGATTAATGGTGGTTTATGTGCCTATGAAAATATTCAATACTTTTGTAAGTCTCTTCTACTTAGAAAGCAGATGACATAAAACCTCAAAAGGTAAAGGTTCCATCATAATATTTCCTCCAAGTCAAAACACAATAAGAGCAGTCCTCCCAGATACTTCCCTAGGTATCCTGACAGCTTGGAATTTCACAGCAGATGATACACAGGGAAAGAAACAGGGCCAGGGAGCCAACTTTTGAGGATGGATCCATAGCTTTCTAAGAAGTAAAAAATTGTTTCTAAGTCACAAAACTCCTTAAGTAAAAATACACATTTGTATTGGATGAAGGGATTTTCCTTAAATTTGTCTTCACTGCAGCAAACAGTAAAATTCCCAATGACGGAAACAAAGACAGACTATTACCAAATACTTTATAAATAAACTCACAAAGAAGATGAATTTTTGTCACTTCACTGTTTTAAAGAGAATAAATTATAAGGAATGTTTGGTATGAATTTAATCCACCTGACTTTTGTCAAATGCCTGTTTGCAAATTTTACGTAATCTCTTAAAATAATTCTCTGTCCCACCCAATGGAGCCAATGGTCTTAAGTGATCAGATGACAAAGAAGTAGAGAAAGAAATTTCAACAGCTTTCATGAGCAAATCCACAGAGAGAGAAAGAGGGATAAATGCAACATTTAGATATAAAACTTAGCTTTCAAAGTTTCATGTACAGGTGAGCAACAAGGGAAAAAATGCACATGTTCAAGTAACTGCAATTCTTCTAACACATATATATTGTAACTGAGTTGGCAGGACAAGTCCAGCTGTTAGTGGGTAAGTATACAACATAAAATTTACTTAGCTGCCTTGTCTGCAGTTTCCATAAGGCACAAAACCAGTATCTTCCACTTAAATATCATCAGAGATTCCTTCCACTCAGAGCTGAAACACATTTTCACATTCTTGGGAAATGATGCCCTGATATACTAGAACTTCATCTTTTATGATTGCTAATTTAATCCCCAGGAACACTGCAATATTCATTCAACAGATAATGAACACACCGAGGGAAGTCAAAGTATAAATAAATAATAATCAAATATTGTAAATATTTTTTTAACCATTTCTGTCTGTGTACATGCTAAGTTCTCCTACAGGGACCAAAATTACTATTGATACACAATTTATAAAAATTAAAATTGCATGAAAATTTACAGAGAGCTGGAATAAGTGTCAAAAGTCACTGGTATGAGGCCTTTGTCTATTGCAAGCAATAGTATCACACACAGTATTTCCTAAATGTTCCACCCACATTTTCTGTTACCAATGTCTCTACTCAAAGTCCATTCCTGAATTTCTTTCTCAAAAGCCTCTCTTCTAACTTTTAATTTCCAGTAGTCATAGGCAGTTTATATCCATTTTTCCTTAAGCCAACATTACCCTATGGATTACATAGCTCTAGTAGCCTGGCATTTACTCTCTCAGTATATGATAGAGCAAGGAATTACGTACTCCCACAAACGTGATTTTATTAGGCTAAGCACAAGATCCTTTTGCTCTTATGAAAACAGTGCTCTGCCTTCTTGGTCATCCTGCCATTCTTTGCCCACCATTGCTGTGCTGGACCATGGAAATGCACTTTTTCTCAGTGAACATGACTAAGCAGGTGGACTCCTGCTGTGCCTCTTCCAGTGGCTTTAGGACATTTCCATTTCTTATAGAAGTTCTTTGCCTTATCATGCCGGCTGGAAGACACTCTGTAGTTTTATGCAGGGGTAATTAAAAGGGCTTTCTGTTCTTTCTCCATATTTCATAAAAATACGCTTGAGTATTTGTCTCTATATGGGATAAAAAAATGCCAATGATGCAAAATGTTTATCATATTGCAATCAATATCAATTGATGACATCGAGTTGTCGCATTGCCTAGAATATTTACATAACTCAAACCTGTTGGCTACAAATATATACAATCGATTTTCAAATTAAGTCCCTGTTGTTGCACGTGTCTAATTCAGAGCAACAAAGATCAGAGATCAGACTACTGTTACTTGTGTCCTCTTAAAAGTGTAAAAGATCTCATCAGTACACATAGATTTCAAATCAGAATATAAGTTGCTATCATTTTATACAAGCTAAAAGTATTATTTAGGAGGACAAACAGAAATATAAAGGAAGAAAAGGGAAGAACAAGGAACCAAAAAAAAGGAAGAAAAATCCCACATATGTTAATGCACAGCTTTAAAATAAATTAGAAAAAACAGCCAACACTACCATCTACTGGGCAAGATAAGGACAAAGAGTTCATTGCAATAAAGACAATTGTTGCTGCATTCTGACAGTAACTTCAGCAACAAAATATAACTTGACCCCACAACAGTGTGATTGGACTAGCTCAGAAGATATCTGCAAAATTGTTATTATCTAAACAAAAGCAAATTGAGTAAATGCTCTTTATACCTATGAAGCAACTAAAAGTAACAGAATTATACAGCAGTTTGTCAAGAGGATGG